AAGACCATAAACCCCCCCTCTTTGTTAAAGGCATGGTTGCACAAACGGGCCCATTTAAGGATGAGTGGACTCAACCCCCAAGAATCCTGGGAGTTGAAGTCCACTCATCTTAAAGTGGCCAAGTTTGGACAACACTGGCTTAAAGCATTGCTGATGGATGGCTGTCCAGCTTCTACTTCTATGCACCCAACCAAAAGGAGCCCACTGCTTCTCCAAGTCATTGGTTTCCCTATCTGACTGCTCTTCCTTTTCTCACCTTCAGTCAGAATCTGCCTTTCTGTAACTTAAGTCTGTTTCTCCATATCATGCAATCTGGGGGAATGGAGAACAGTGCTTGAATTCTTCACAGAATCGTGTTCTGAATTGGCTACCCTCCTTTGCCCTTCAAATATCCTGGTACTCGCAGGGGAATGGCTTTCCTCCTTTGCGGACCACGCACAAACAGATTAATTCCATCCAAAAGTTCTCCTGGGTGGCATGGAAACCAAGAAGCTGCCTTATATAGAGTCAAACCATACTGATGCACAGCTGCAAACCAGGGTTTTCCCTCAGCCCTTTCCCATTGATGGCCAGGACTGAATTTGGGGACTTCTTTATGCAAATGGTGGCATTTATTCTCCACTCCATCCAGGTGTAACTGAATACACTTTACTGAATCTGGCATAGGCACAGAGTTGATGGAATGCTATCGTTGATCCACTTCTGGCCCATTGCCCTCACTAAGCCTCTGAGTGAACAAGCACCAGAAGTCCCTTTTATGGTCTGCAAAGAAATAGTCAATTTAATCTGACAGGTACTTTAACAAGAGGTGTGCAGCCTGAGGATCCAAAGCAGGCAAGGGTGCTGTGTGGGCTCAGGAAAATATGCATTTGGATTAGATGGTAGTAATGTGCCCAGCAGGGACAGTGGGGTATGCGTTGGGGTTGCCCGCTTTGGATCTAAATAGTGCACATCTAACTTTAATACACCAGGATATTACATCCTCTGCCTGTTCTGGGCCTCCATCCAGGTTGCATGGGAGGCGGGTATCCTGTCGCCCCAGCCTGGTGGATTCACCCACTTCTTTCTTTGCAGGCCACAGACAAAGCCAGAGAGCCAGATTTTTCCCCGCCTTCCAACAGCAATGCAGCATCTAACATCAGAGCAGCGGTCCGAGGAGAGAAGGCAACTGACGCTCAAGTCGCGTTGCCTGAAAAAGAGTCTCCTTCAATCCCAGGCCCGGTGGAAGAGAGGCCACTTCTCCCACCAATGGCCTCAACCACAGGTGTGGGTAGTGTGGAGCAGAAGTGGGACAGACGCCAACACCACCCTGTGATGGTGAAAAATGAGAGTATGGGGAACGTGCATCGCCCAGAGGACAGCACGACAGTTTCAGCATTGCCCACTGACGCTTCTGGGAATCAGCCGGAAGAGGATTACTACTCAACTGATAGCTTTGTGTTGGCTCCAGGCAATCAAAGGGAATCTGAGGCAAAGGACTTGCTTAGAGAGCGAAGGGTTCATATCCTCCGGGTGGATCAAAACCAGGACTGGCTGGAAAATCAGGCCACAGAAAATCAGCCGGTTGTGGACAATCTGCAAAGTAGCCTGGATGCAAAGAAGAAAAGACTCCCAGGTGAAAAACTGGGAGTGAGCCCCAAAGGTGAAGTTTACGTAAGCCTTCCGAAAAAGAGGGAGGGTGTCCTGTCTTGACTCAAACATGCAGGTTGCCCCGATGGTCGTCAACTTGCTTCCAAGTTGCTTACAACTCCTCCATCCATTTGGTCAAGCTTACGTTGGCTTCAACCCAGTCTCATGGTGCTTGGAATGTAGGATTGGGACCTGAGTGATCCAGATTCATGTCCCCCTGAGTCCCCTGGGCAGTCTAGTCTACCTTCTAAGCTGGCAGTTATGAGGGTGAATGGGAGAAGTAAATCCAAGATGGAGGTGGCTTGCCAGTAGAGCTCCCCTGCCTATCTTGCATAGGATGGGAATGAGAATAAGAAGATCAGGAGCTGGTTTGTAACAGGCTGGAAAAACCCAGCTTTCAATTTGCAGGAACTCCTTTGAGGTCATAAGCAGAGAGATGCCTTTTCCCTCACCTTCTGTTTCATTTTTTGAACAGGAGAGGCCAAGAATTAAAACCTGGATTTTCAGCATGAAGAGCATCTCCTCTTCTCTTGACTTAGAGTCCCTCTGTGGGAAAAACTAATTAAGGCTCCTGTAGGCATGCCTTGAATATCATTAACATTGTGCAATCCATTTCTATAAGCTGTTATGGAATAAAAGAAGGCAGCTCTCTGTCCTGAGGACTTTACAATTTAACATTTGACATTGGAGGAATAGAGAAGGGCAAAACTGTGAGCTTAGTTAAGCCATAGACGTTTGGGCTGACGTAATTGGCCCCTTTTAATACTGTGATTCATCCTATCACAATATTTTTGAATAAGGTCTTTCGACTCCCTTATTTTTTGTGCTCATCACTTAGAAATTGAAGGAGGGCTTTCTGGGCTAAGGATCCTGGTTTGGAGGATAATTCTCTTCCAGGAGAACTGTTCAAGAGAGGTGACCCATCTCTTGAACAGCACAAATTGTGGTAGCAATCTCATATCACCCAAGAGCTAACAGATATTCAAAAAGGAGGTATATAGGCAATTTTTTATAACGGATTTTGAACTGGAAGAGAAAGCAGGCCTCAACTTGTGCAAGTATTAAATGTGGGGGGAGTCTTAGAATGTATGGCATGGAAAAGAAAATCACATTTTCCCTTGTTACACATGGGACGATCAAGAAAAGTTATGTTAGGAAATCTTACCAATAAGGTTGTGTGTTTTCACTGATCCTGCACGCCAGCGTTCCTCAACCTTGCTGGCTGGGGAATTCTGGGAGTTGAAGTCCACCCATCTTAAAGTTGCCAAGGTTGAGGAACCCTGCTGAAGGCATTCTTCATTGGGGGAACAAGATGCAGTCAAAAGAAATACATACACATTAACAAACAGTTATGCTAAAAGTAGTTCTGTACGTCACGTTTGGTGTTTGGTGTTCAGTGTTACATTCCTGGAGGGGTGGCTGTTGAATGCCCAGAAGGTGCAGCATATGGAGTGTGTCATTGGTGTGCAAATAAATAGTGTCAGCATTGCTTCTGTGCAGCTTCCCACAGGTCAGCAGAGGACCCAACCCAGCTCCTGTCCACTGATCATTCAACTCGTAGCTCTTCTGCCAACAGTGCCCAGCTGTCTCTTAAGCAAACAGGAACTAAGCCTCCCTCTCAGGTCCCCAACACCACATCTGATCAACAGTTTCATCCTCCATCTTCTGACTTGGGTGGTTCCTCTCCCATTGACAAAATGCCACCAAACCCTTCTATGAAGTTTTCAGCTGCTAGAGGTGATACATACTCAGATGACTTTAAATATACTATCGAAGAGAAAAAGCCTTTGAGAGAACCAGACCGCATGGATACCTTGCCAGTGGGGCAAGAGCAGGTAAGCTGGGGGGGAAGAAATTGGGGAAGATTGAAGCCCCAGGAACAGTAATGGAACACCTGCAGAGACGTCAAGACAAGAATGTAGGAAGCTACTTAATTCTGGGTCAAACTTTTTCTCCATCTACAGTACCCCAGGGGTCGACAGTGCAATACGTATTGAACCCCCCCCCCAACATCCCCCAAATGAGGTAAAATAAAATGTTAAAATAGCCAGAATCTTGCATAGGAGGATGTAAGATGAGCGAGTCCTCAGCAACCAAGATGTCATGGCTTTCACAGCCATGGAGTAGATTTCAGTGTTTTTTTGAAGCCTCTAGGGCAGTGTTTCTCAACCTTGACTACTTTAAGATGGGTGGATTTCAACTCCCAGAATTCCCCAGCCAGCATTTTCACTGGAGGAATTCTAGGTGTTGAAGTGCACATGTCTTAAAGTGGCCAAGGCTGAAAAACACTGTTCTACTCAGCCTTTACTGCTCTTAAAAATCCAAGAATGACTGGGTGACTTTGGGCCAGACTTTTTCTCACCCCAACCTATCCCACAGGGTTGTCGGGGGGCGGGGGGAATAGGACAAAGCACTATGTACATTGCCTTGAGCTCGTGTGCCAAAGGTGGGAGTTAAGTCAATAAGTAACACTATGCTTGACTGGTGGCAGCTATGTTGGGCCTCTGAGATCCTGGACATGTTCAGAGCATGTGCTCTAGGTCTGAGCTGTGGGAGGGAGGGAGAGAGAGAGAGAGAGAGAGAGAGAAGCATAAGAGAGATTGCCAATCAGTCACCCCTGTGAGGCTCCTGATTCTTGGTCACCAGTTGGAAGAAGGCTCCTAAGTAGCAGGTCTGATGACTTCCAGGATGGTTGCTCCATGCTGGGACCACCTTCACTTCCTGTATAACTATCTGCCATATATCTAAGAAGGGTACAGGAGCCTGCTAGAGCAAAGGAGTTGGGATTCCCCAACCAGGCATCTAGTGGGCTTCCATGTGGCCTTGGAAGAAAGCAATAAGGAGAAAGGATCTTGTTTCTATGGGAAAGCTTGCATTCATTAATATGCTAAAAAAATGAGTTAACGGATACATGTTGCTATTTCTCCTCTGATTCAATAAAGAAAAGAGGTAATATTTCAGCTGCTGGAAGCCTTGCTCTCCTGGTCATACAAGCGTGATCTCTGCTGCCCTCCTTCCAACTCCTTGCCTGTCTTTCCCTATGCAGTCCAACTTCCAAATGTGCTGAAAGCATTGCTCCTATGCGACTCTTGGTACCATGCTCTGTGGTTGGATGCTCCATGGGCTGGGCAACCTGAAACCTACCTACAGAGTATGGTGCCAGAGTGGCCTAGAAGTGATCTCCTAAGAAAGTGTGCTCTGTGGTTGGCGGCATGCAACCTAACTCACACAGCTGGGAGCAGTGTGGAAAGGACATTCTCAGTGCACCATTCTGTGATTGGGTGGCACATGCATCTGACTGAGGCCAGCTCCTCCTTCATTGCAGGCTTTCACGTGACAACCCAGTCATAGAGATGCAGCCTGTGTTGGAGAGATGGGTTACAGCTACTCCTGAATTTGGCTTTGCCACTGCTGATGCACACCCAACTGTGTCCCCAAATAGAACATGATTCAAAAAAAATGGGACCTATTTCTACTGTTAAGAAGTGAAACATGGATCCACCCCCACCACACAACACACACACACACAGAGATTTGGTTCCTTATGGCTGTTCCTGAGGTTTGCAGAACTTGGTGTGTTCTTGAGGCCAGCAGGTCCAGGTTAACATTGATGACCCGCTTTGGCTATTGTGCTGCTTAACACCTTCTCAGGTGCTTTTAGTACATCACGGATGTTTCCTCAGATAGCCTTACTTAGTTACTTATTTACCTACCTACTTACCTACTACACTTCTATCCCACTTTTTCTCTGGGAGCTTGATGGCAGGGAGAGGAGTCTCTCCTTATTTTATCGCAACAATCCTGTGAGGTGGATGAATTGCCAGGGGCATTTACTTTACCTCCTTGTTCTGTTTCCTGTAGGCGATGGAGACTCGGCCCTCAGCTGGGGTGGACTGTAAGAGAAAGAACCACATCTTTTACAGCAACCATACCGAGGACGATATGCCTTCCAAGCCGGGTGTTCTGTCTTCAGTCCCAGGTGAAACTGCAGAGTCCACCAAGGCATATTCTGGGACATCAGAAAGATTATGCATTAGCAACAGTGACCCCATATTGGTGAGTGATACCAGCTCAGTGGGTAATCCAACTGCAAACACCCTTTGGGGAAGAAAGGGGGTGAGCAGCCCAGGTGATGCTTCTCTTCCACCCAAGGATGAGAATGGTGAAGATGAGACATCCATCAGGACTCACAATCTGCAAGTGGTGGAGAATCCAAGTATGGATCTGATGGGAGCTCCTGAGATGGTTCCTTTGGGTGAGGCCTCCCCTCACCCTTCTTCAAGAGCCTTCCCAGATCCAACATCTGAATGTCAACCAGAGAAGAAGGCCAAGGACCTTTCTCGGGCTTCCCTCCCAGATGAGAAAGCTGAGGCTGGAACTGGGTGGACTGCAAACAACTCTGTGCTGCTCTTTGTGGGTTTTGCTCTGGCATCTGTGGCGGTTGTGGCTTTTGTGCTGTATAAGAAGAAATAGGCATTGGAGTCAAAAAGGAGCTGTTGACCAACTGAAATTCATGCCCAGCCACCTTCTCTTCCAACCAATGCTTGATATAACACTCTAGGGAAGGGAAGCAATAGGGAGTAATTGCTGCTTTCTTCAGATAGCTTTTCGCCACAGATGTGTGATGCTCCCAGCAGTGCTATACTCTGTCCTCACAACTTGCCTTGCCTATTTCCTTGAGTCTGCTTTTGGTCACCGGTGACTTCTTTTGATCAGTGGTACTGGGTATCTGTCAGTTCAGTTGCCCTATACCCCAAATAGCCAAGTGGGTGAGACCTAGGACTTGCCTGAGAAATCACCAGAAAAGCAAAGCCTGTAAGTCAGAGCAAAATCTTAGAAGAAGCCAGCGGCAGCTCGCTTCCACACAGCTGGCAAGAGAATAACAGGATCTTGACTTGGGTGGGCTTCATTTTTAAAAAGGCTACATCCAAAAGAATAATGCTGCAGTTGGTCCCACTGGCTGACATGGACAATCGATCAGCGTCCTGGTCCAGTGGGTAGATCTGTTTGGTATGGCTTAAAAAAAGGAAAAGAAAATAGCATGGTTCACTTTGAGAGTGATTGTGCAACATGCCTACTAATGCTGCAGAAGGTCTGTCGTTTAATGATGGCTTGTTCAGGATGGTGCCTTCCAGTGTGTATGGCAGTGTCTCCCAACCTCAGCAACTTTAAGATGCATGGACTTCAACTCCCAGAATTCTGCAGCCAAGTCCATGCATCTTAAAGTTGCCAAGGTTGGGAGACACTGAGGTACGATGTTGTCTTTCAACCTCTGGAGGATTCAGGGACAACAGAAGCTCTTTTAGATGCCTACCCATTGAATCGGTGGCATAACACACATGCAGTCTACTGAAGTTAAGGAAGAGATCTTGCACTGAGCTCGCAAATGTTCCAGTGACATTTAGTCCAACATGGCAAAGCCATTTCAGGTGGCCTCTCCATAGAAGTTATGTATTCTGCACTATATGAGTGATTTCTGATTAGGGAATCTCCTTTTCTTCTAAGGGTGGGTAGGTTTTCTAAGGAATTTTCATTTTTTCCCCCTCAGAACTAATAAAAATTCAGGCAGCTAGCTCCCCAGATGCCTGAATATGTTGTTGTTTGAATATGAAAAAGTTTATGCTGAATCCTTAGAAATTAACATCCTGTTCTCCCGCTCTGTTTTTCTGGAATCAGTGTCAGCTTATGTAATTTAGGGAAAGGCGGGTAGCAATGGACTTCATTGACATGTTTGTGAACCCTTGGTCTTCCTTTTCCACTTCTTGGAAATAAGAAGAGAATCGGGCATTGAAAATCAAAGGAGGAACAAGCTACCAGAAGTTCTTTCTCCTGTTATTACAGGAAAGGGCTCCAACTTGGACTGTCATTTTCTGGAAGTTATCCATGGATGTCAGTGGAAGTGGAATGTCTTCAGCCCATTCTTTCTGGATGTTTTTTGCAGCAAAACTTCTCAGACTTTGTCCAACCACCTTATTAACAGTGGCCATGCCAAGCCACTGTATTTTCTTTTGTCTAATGCAGTGTTTCTCAACCTTGGCAATTTTAAGGCATGGGGGCGTCCAATCCCCAGAATTCCCCAGCCAACCTCTCCGTGTGGGGGGGTTTTTGGGTTGAGGTCCACATCGGGTAAAAA